CCGTTTACCCACCCTCAAAATGATAGTTTGATAAAAAAAGAGGAGGACAAAACGAAACACAGTCCCAAGTACTGTTAACTAGATCGACCAGTTGCTTCTCCTTTACAGGACGTTGCAGAACCAACCCCAGCAGCCCTTTGCTGTTGTGTATTTTCTCTAGGCAAATTTACGTCCAGTAGTTTGCCATTGCCTCTGGACGGTCGGCCCACTGATACCACTGTCGAAACCAACGCAAGGCGCATGGCCCGCAGCTGGGATCGAACCCAGCACCCCGGCATTACGAAGCCATTGATAGAGCTTGGAAAAGACACGCACCAATTTCAAAGTGTCAAATAACAAAGGAGAGAATCACCAACTGGTAGTTTAGTGTTCAAATATCAGTGTGATGGTTGACAATATCGCCTTTATCTTCTTCTTCTTCTGCAGAATTCTCTTGACATTATCTCTCCATAATCTTCTCAGTCTGCCTCGTAGTCTACGACCATTCATCTCCTTTGTGTATACACTACCTCTCTGTTGTGAGACATTATCTCAGTATGTCCCAGCCATTTCCGCCTATTAGCTTTCATGATGCCAATGATCAGTGTTGATTTAAATAGATTAGGAATTTCGTTGTTTCTTCTCACTCTCCATTCACCGCAGTTTACATCTTTCCTTTATGATTTCTGCTCTTTCTTTTCTCCACGACAAGCTGTCAGTTCTGTTTTATTTTCATGAATGCTAAGCCTGAAAATCCGGATTATCACAAATAATAATAAACTCAGTTTTAAAATTACTTGTATCCCCCCGCCCCTTTTTCGATTGAAACTTCGCCAGGCCTCCCAGGTTGGAGACCACGGAGTTGTTTCCATAGCGAGGCGCACACGCCATTTGGAGGTGACAGGTTCAATCACCGGCACTGTAGCTTTCTCTTTTTATGTTGTCTAGTTTGTTTTTCTTTCTACTTCTTTATATGAGGGACGATCAGTACATTATCTGTATGTTTATCATACATACAATATGGCATACGAACCATGGCCGACTATAGGGCCTTCAGCCGGCCATGGACGAACCCTGTACATACGCCCATTCCTGCCGGTCAGTTAGGTGAGTCATCATAGGCCGATATTGGTCACTTCTGATAGATTGATTGAGTGGCTAATATTTTGGACACTTCTTAGTCTTCTGCTTTTAACCCCTGAAGAGCTGTTGGCATCTTGTGTTGCGGTTTACAGCTAGGCTGCAGTATCTGCGTTTTGAGCCCGAGATGTCAGATTTAAGAAAATTCATCATTAGTCGCCTTTTACGAAACGATTGTTGGGGGCAAAAGGGTATGTTTTAGATATATCTATTATTACTGGACAGTTAAACAAGCCCCTCCCGTCCCTATAAATTATTGGAAAGGGGTTTGAACCCTATGTTTTCTTTGTGGCGACACACCTGTATACAGTAACTTTGATTTGGTATAGTAATAGTGACAGTAACATTTATTTGATTTAGTAGTAGTTACGGTAACATTGATTTGGTATAGCAATAGCTATAGCAGCATGGAAATGGTGTAGCAATAGTTACAGTAGCATTGATTTGGTGTAGCAATAGTTACAGTAACATTGATCTGGCACAGCAATAGTTACAGTAGCATCGAAATGGTGTAGCAATAGTTACAGTAACATTGATATGGCACAGCAATAGTTACAGCAGCATGGAAATGGTGTAGCAATAGTTACAGTAGCATCGAAATGGTGTGGCGATAGTTACAGTAATATTAATTTATATCTTTTTCTTGGTAGTTACAGTAAGATTGATTTGGTGTAGCAGTAGTTACAGTAACATTGATCTGGCGCAGCAGTAGTTACAGTAACATTGATCTGGTGCAGCAATAGTTACAGTAACATTGATTTGGCGTAGCAATAGTTACAGTAACATTGATCTGGTGTAGCAATAATTACAGTAACATTGATTTGGTATAGCAATAGTTACAGTTACATTGATTTGGTATAGCAATAGTTACAGTAACATTGATTTGCTATAGCAATAGTTACAGTTACATTGATTTGGTGTAGCAATAGTTACAGTAACATTGATTGGGTGTAGCAATAGTTACAGTTACATTGATTTGGTATACTCTAGTTACATTAAGAACAGACAGGAATAGGGATAGTTACAATAACATTCACTTGGCATATAAGTAGTTACAATAACATTGATCTGGCGCAGCAATAGTTACAGTAACATTGATTTGGTGTAGCAATAGTTACAGTAACATTGATTTGGTGTAGCAATAGTTACAGTAACATTGATTGGGTGTAGCAATAGTTACAGTTACATTGATTTGGTATAGCAATAGTTACATTAAGAACAGACAGGAATAGTGATAGTTACAATAACATTCACTTGGCATATAAGTAGTTACAATAACATTGATCTGGCGCAGCAATAGTTACAGTAACATTGATTTGGTGTAGCAATAGTTACAGTAACATTGATTTGGTGTAGCAATAGTTACAGTAACATTGATTTGGTGTAGCAATAGTTACAGTAACATTGATCTGGTGTTGCAATAGTTACAGTAACATTGATTTGGTGTAGCAATAGCTACAGTAACATTGATTTGGTGTTGCAATAGTTACAGTAACATTGATTTGGTGTAGCAATAGCTACAGTAACATTGATTTGGTGTAGCAATAGTTACAGTAACATTGATTTGGTGTAGCAATAGTTACTGTAACATTGATCTGGTGTTGCATTAGTTACAGTAACATTGATCTGGTGTTGCAATAGTTACAGTAACATTGATCTGGTGTTGCAATAGTTACAGTAACATTGATCTGGTGTTGCATTAGTTACAGTAACATTGATCTGGTGTTGCAATAGTTACAGTAACATTGATCTGGTGTTGCAATAGTTACAGTAACATTGATTTGGTGTAGCAATAGTTACAGTAACATTGATTTGGTGTAGCAATAGTTACAGTAACATTGATTTGGTGTAGCAATAGTTACAGTAACATTGATCTGGTGTTGCAATAGTTACAGTGACATTGATTTGGTGTAGCAATAGTTACAGTAACATTGATTTTATGTAGCATTAGTGACAATAACATTGATTTGGTGTAGCAATAGTCACACTAAGAACAGACTGGAATAGGGATAGTTGCAATAACATTCACTTGGCATATAAGTAGTTACAATAACATTGATTTGGTGTAGCAATAGTCACACTAAGAACAGACTGGAATAGGGATAGTTACAATAACATTCACTTGGCATATAAGTAGTTACAGTGACATTGATTTAGTGTAGCATTAATGACAGTTACATTCACTTGCTTAAGATTAGTTACATTAAAATTAAATGTTATAGGAATAGTTACAGAAAAAATTAATTGGTATATAAATAGTTACAATAATATTCACTTGTTATAGGAAAATTACAACAACATTCACTTGGTATATAAATAGGGTTCTTCTATTTTATTTCACCATACAGGAATCAAAATTTTCATGGGGAGTTCACAGAAAAGTCCAATATTATTGCGGTGGAGATGAGGTGGGGGCTGAGAGGTGGGGAAATGGTTAGTGTTACTCGGTATTCATTTCACAGTTGAACACCCCTACACTTTTGGACTTGCCTGTGAACTCCCCACGCAATATCGGAGTCCCCGAGGTGGGGTAAAATAAAAGAAAAAAAAAACATAAATAGTTACACAGTAACATTCACTTGGTATCGAAATGTAAAAGTTGCTGTAAGAGCAGCTTGGTATCGAAATAGTTACAGTAATATTCGCTTGGGTAGAAATAGCTACAGTATTATTTCTTAGAATTAGGTGAAGTAACAAAAATCTGAAATGGAAATAGTTACGGTAGAATTACATTTTGATAGACAGATTTAGTGGCAAAGAATTAGGCAATAACTAATACTTTTTTTTATTCACACGCATTTGAAATTTTATGTTTGAAAAATTGATTGTCCCCGACATTTCTGATATTGATTTGCAGTTGAATTTGCACCCAGACACAATTACTCAGTGAAATAACTAAATTATGCAGGCTGTTTTGCATTCAGCTGACATAAGTGAAGCGATAAACACGGTGTTGTGTGAAGATGTTTCAGAACTGGCATCAGAGCCATACGTTCTAGTAAATTCTAGGACCCTTTCCCACGAATTCAGGTGTTTTGGGAATATCAGTGGACATACAGGGATAGTCCTGTATTTTATAGACCAATCAGCTCTCGTTGGATGATGTGGTCAACATTAAGCCGGCAGCTTTTACTTCCTAGGGCTTTACCTGGTATTAATTTAAGGCTTGGTCAACCTGGGAGCCAAAGTGAGGTTTTAAAAACAGGCTGGCTGACTTGGGATTTGAACCCACAATGTTCGGATCCGCAGGCGAGCGTCTATCTGCTATACCACAGCGGCTCCTGTAACCGATTTAACTGAAGCTATAAGCACGGTGTTGTGTTAGGACACGCCAGAACTTGTTTCAGTGCCTTCTATCCTAGTGCTGGGAACAACACTTTAATAAAGCAGCGAAATAAAAATGGTGCGTCTAAACGAAAACAGTAGTGGCGGGAGAGGAAACGGATGCAACACAGGAAACGAATACGAAAAAATTGACGAATGCAAAGAAAAGGTGTCTGGTGATTGGTGAAGAGGAAGGATGGGGGGGGGGGGGATTAAGCAGAAGAAACTGCTCCAGCAATGGAAGAAACTAGTAGTGGAAGAAGAGACCGACGCCTAAGGCACTGCATCAGTAGTGGAAGAAGAGGCGGATGTAAAAGAACTGCAACAGTAGCGGAAGAAGTGACGACCCCCAAAAGAACCTGCAACAGCAGCGGAAGAAGAGGCGACCGTAGAAGAACCTGCAACAGTTGCAGAAGAAAAGGCGGATTCAGAAAAAATTGCAACAGTTGAGGAAGAAGAGGCGACCGTAGAAGAACTGCAACAGCTACAGAAGAAGCGTCAAATGTAGAAGAAACTACAGCACTATGAAAAGGAACGAAAAACTGGCAGCAGTGGAGGGAGGAATTGCAGCATCATCAGAGTAAGGTAGAAAGTTCCGCAATAGTATTTAAAGGAGAACTAGCAGTGGGAAGAGAACTAGCAGTGGAAAGAGAACTAGGTTCGGAAAGAGAACCAGCTGCGGAAAGAGAACCAGCTGCGGAAAGAGAACCAGCAATGGAAAGAGAACCAGCAATGGAAAGAGAACCAGCAGTGGAAAGAGAACCAGCAGTGGAAAGAGAATCAGCAGTGGAAAGAGAACTAGCTGCGGAAAGAGAACTAGCAGTGGAAAGAGAACTAGCTGTGGAAAGAGAACCAGCAGTGGAAAGAGAACCAGCAGTGGAAAGAGAACCAGCAGTGGAAAGAGAACTAGCTGTGGAAAAAGAACCAGCTGCGGAAAGAGAACTAGCAGTGGAAAGAGAACTAGCTGTGGAAAGAGAACCAGCAGTGGAAAGAGAACCAGCAGTGGAAAGAGAACTAGCTGTGGAAAAAGAACCAGCTGCGGAAAGAGAACCAGCAGTGGAATGAGAACCAGCAGTGGAAAGAGAACCAGCAGTGGAAAGAGAACCAGCTATGGAAAGAGAACCAGCTGCGGAAAGAGAACCAGCAGTGGAATGAGAACCAGCAGTGGAAAGAGAACTAGCTGCGGAAGGAGAACTAGCAGAGGAAGGACATACCCCATTTGAAGGAGACGTTGAGTGAAGATTATCTTTAATGAAGAATGGATTGTGCAACTACAAAATGAGATAACCAGTCTTACCCCATCGTCCTTAGTTACCCCTAAAGACAAACATGCTAGTCTCACTGCATATTTTCGATATATTGCTATCATCATCATCGTTATCATCATCATCATCGTCGTCATCGTCGTCATCATAATCTTGTGCCATGCCGGTAAGCGTAGGCTGTCATGTTTCGCTATCTTACAAGATCAATAGAATTTACGATCAGTTCAATGTGTTTTTCTCGCACCATCCATTTAGCCATCCGTATATTTACCTCGTTGACCTGCTCCTGCTTTCTTTCCTCTTGCTAGTTGCTACCAAATTCTCGAGTCGATTTCTCCTCATAACATGTCCATAAAACGTTGACTGTCTGCGTCTATTTGTTCTAATATGTTTGCGACTTTCCTCTGTCTCGATGAGAACTGCTTCGTCTTTTTCTATCTTCATGTGATATTCTTTGTATTGTTCTCAGAAACCACATCTCTGCTGTGAGTAAATGTTTTTTACTCACTCTCCATGTTTCAAATGCACAAAACAGCACATTTTCTACATCGCACTTTCTCTTGCTCTCACTGCAGTTGACATTTTCTTGTTGGCGAGAATCTTTTGCGTCTTACCATAGGCCACCGTATTGATATCTACGGGCATAAATTATACTTTTTTTATAAAAAAATTAAAATTTGACACTGTAGGAAGGAAAGTTTGTTACCATTTCAAGAATGAGAATCACACAGGTACTAATTCAGGAAACACTGTTCAACCGTATAGCCATATATATATATATATATATATATATATATATATATATATATATATATATATATATATATATATATATATATATATATATAGTCGCGTCTCCTTTACAGGACGTCACAGAACCGGCCTCAGCAGTTTTTGGCTCATTGTGATTTCACTAGGCAATTTTACTTTCAGTAGTTTGCCAATGCTACTGAATTTTAGGTTTTCGATATCTCTGTAAAAAAATAACACAAAGCGGTTTGTCGTCAAATCACCGCAGCTGTGATTGAAACGGGCATCTCGGAATTACGAAGCTCGTTCGCAAAGCCTAAGCTACATCTGACGACAGCACAAAGACGCACAGTACAGCTAGCTACACTGGGGAAGAGTCAAAAAGGTTACAAAGTCACTCGTACTCCAGTGTGCATCTTCTTTTTCTTCTTTTGTTGTCATGTCGCTGTTACCAGGCTGTAGCCCAGTGTCGTGGTCTTCTTTATTTCTCTTGCACTTCTTGGGTGGCTTGAGTGGTGGGTTTGTTCATCTTTTTTCAGGCTTCGGCTACACCATTTATTCATCTCTTACTTGGTCTTCCTCTCGCCTTCCTCCTAGATGTTTTGCTGTAAAAATTCTTATATACAGTTTGGTCTGGCTGCATTCTCCCTAGATGGCTGAACCAGTTCATTCTTCGTCTGTCAGTATAATCAAGACATGGTCTTATTCCAACTTCCTCTCTAATGCTGGTATTCAAAACCCTGTCTCTTCTTGCGTTGTTAGGGACCAGTGTGTATGGGTCTTGTAAATCAATACGTTTGAATGTATTTGACATTACCTTATGTCTGTCATCCTTTTTACGCAGTTCTGCTGGCTTTTAGTGAGATATTGAATTTCCTCTTATCTCATCTCATCCGCATTAACTACATGGAGATTCTTTCCTGCGATTTGAGTCATGTTGAATACATTGTGCTTATCACGTGCGCCAACACAAAAACAACATTGGTGGGTGTGGTGGGGTAAGCGGGGACAGCGCCCATTTAGTTCCCTTGCACGAGGTGGTCAAGCCTTGCACTCTGAAGGTCAAGGGTTCGTTTCACGGCTGCATCTTTCGGTTAGAGAGTGCAAATTTTACGGTGACCCTCGGGATAGTTACCAGAGCTAGGTTGTTCATGCTTTGTGGGACGCTCTTGACTGGTGGCTAGCCGTTTTGCAGAGAGAGAGAGAGAGAGAGAGAGAGAGAGAGAGAGAGAGAGAGAGAGAGAGAGAGAGAGAGAGAGAGAGAGAGAGAGAGAGAGAGAGAGACTGAGCCATAATGGGATACAACCCGATATCAAAAAATCGATCCTAACTACTTCACTCTTAGTAGTAGCAGTAATAATAATAATACTAATAGTAAATTACATAAAAAATATGTGTCTTGATACATTCCCTTGGATCTGTTCTAATTCTGAATACATTACCAAACTCAGCACTACTAACACTTGATGTAACAGCCTCCACACTGCTAGGCCCAGATGTGCTAACCTCAGCACTACCAACACCCAGATGGGGTTGGTAGTGTCGGGGTTGGTACATCTGGGTTGGTAGTGTCGGGGTTGGCAGTGTCGGGGTTGGTAGTATCGGGGTTGGTAGTGTCGGGGTTGGTAGTGTCGGGGCTGGTACATCTGGGTTGGTAGTGTCGGGGTTGGTACATCTGGGTTGGCAGTGTCGGGGTTGGTAGTGTCGGGGCTGGTACATCTGGGTTGGTAGTGTCGGGGTTGGTACATCTGGGTTGGTAGTGTCGGGGTTGGTAGTGTCGGGGTTGGTACATCTGGGTTGGTATAGTGTCGGGGTTGGTAGTGTCGGGGTTGGTACATCGGGGTTGGTAGTGTCGGGGTTGGTAGTGTCGGGGTTGGTAATGTCGGGGTTGGTAGTGTCGGGGTTGGTAGTGTCGGGGTTGGTACATTTGGGTTGGTAGTGTCGGGGTTGGTACATCTGGGTTGGTAGTGTCGGGGTTGGTACATCTGGGTTGGTAGTGTCGGGGTTGGTAGTGTCGGGGTTGGTAGTGTCGGGGTTGGTAGTGTCGGGGTTGGTAGTGTCGGGGTTGGTAGTGTCGGGGTTGGTACATCTGGGTTGGTAGTGTCGGGGCTGGTACATCTGGGTTGGTAGTGTCGGGGTTGGTAGTGTCGGGGTTGGTACATCTGGGTTGGTAGTGTCGGGGTTGGTAGTGTCGGGGTTGGTACATCTGGGTTGGTAGTGTCGGGGTTGGTACATCTGGGTTGGTAGTGTCGGGGTTGGTAGTGTCGGGGTTGGTAGTGTCGGGGTTGGTAGTGTCGGGGTTGGTAGTGTCGGGGTTGGTACATCTGGGTTGGTAGTGTCGGGGTTGGTAGTGTCGGGGTTGGTAGTGTCGGGGTTGGTAGTGTCGGGGTTGGTAGTGTCGGGGTTGGTAGTGTCGGGGTTGGTAGTGTCGGGGTTGGTAGTGTCGGGGTTGGTACATCTGGGTTGGTAGTGTCGGGGTTGGTAGTGTCGGGGTTGGTAGTGTCGGGGTTGGTAGTGTCGGGGTTGGTAGTGTCGGGGTTGGTAGTGTCGGGGTTGGCAGTGTCGGGGTTGGTAGTGTCGGGGTTGGTAGTGTCGGGGTTGGTAGTGTCGGGGTTGGTACATCTGGGTTGGTAGTGTCGGGGTTGGTAGTGTCGGGGTTGGTACATCTGGGTTGGTAGTGTCGGGGTTGGTAGTGTCGGGGTTGGTAGTGTCGGGGTTGGTAGTGTCGGGGCTGGTAGTGTCGGGGTTGGTAGTGTCGGGGTTGGTACATCTGGGGTTGGTAGTGTCGGGGTTGGTACATCTGGGGTTGGTAGTGTCGGGGTTGGTACATCTGGGGCTGGTAGTGTCGGGGTTGGTAGTGTCGGGGTTGGTAGTGTCGGGGTTGGTAGTGTCGGGGTTGGTAGTGTCGGGGTTGGTAGTGTCGGGGTTGGTAGTGTCGGGGTTGGTAGTGTCGGGGTTGGTAGTGTCGGGGCTGGTAGTGTCGGGGTTGGTAGTGTCGGGGTTGGTACATCTGGGGTTGGTAGTGTCGGGGTTGGTACATCTGGGGCTGGTAGTGTCGGGGTTGGTAGTGTCGGGGTTGGTAGTGTCGGGGTTGGTACATCTGGGGTTGGTAGTGTCGGGGTTGGTAGTGTCGGGGCTGGTACATCTGGGGTTGGTAGTGTCGGGGTTGGTAGTGTCGGGGTTGGTAGTTTCGGGGTTGGTAGTGTCGGGGCTGGTACATCTGGGGTTGGTAGTGTCGGGGCTGGTACATCTGGGGTTGGTAGTGTCGGGGCTGGTACATCTGGGGTTGGTAGTGTCGGGGTTGGTAGTGTCGGGGTTCGAAGTGTCGGGGCTGGTACATCTGGGGTTGGTAGTGTCGGGGTTGGTACATCTGGGGTTGGTAGTGTCGGGGCTGGTACATCTGGGGTTGGTAGTGTCGGGGCTGGTACATCTGGGGTTGGTAGTGTCGGGGTTGGTAGTGTCGGGGTTCGTAGTGTCGGGGCTGGTACATCTGGGGTTGGTAGTGTCGGGGTTGGTACATCTGGGGTTGGTAGTGTCGGGGTTGGTAGTGTCGGGGTTCGTAGTGTCGGGGTTGGTACATCTGGGGTTGGTAGTGTCGGGGTTCGTAGTGTCGGGGTTGGTACATCTGGGGTTGGTAGTGTCGGGGTTGGTACATCTGGGGTTGGTAGTGTCGGGGTTGGTAGTGTCGGGGTTGGTAGTGTCGGGGTTGGTACATCTGGGGTTGGTAGTGTCGGGGTTGGTAGTGTCGGGGCTGGTACATCTGGGGTTGGTAGTGTCGGGGTTGGTAGTGTCGGGGTTCGTAGTGTCGGGGTTCGTAGTGTCGGGGTTGGTACATCTGGGGTTGGTAGTGTCGGGGTTCGAAGTGTCGGGGTTGGTACATCTGGGGTTGGTAGTGTCGGGGTTGGTACATCTGGGGTTGGTAGTGTCGGGGTTGGTAGTGTCGGGGTTGGTAGTGTCGGGGTTGGTACATCTGGGGTTGGTAGTGTCGGGGTTTGGTAGTGTCGGGGCTGGTACATCTGGGGTTGGTAGTGTCGGGGTTGGTAGTGTCGG